GGGGCGGGGCGGGGGGGGGGCAGCTTCCCGCCCGGGGGCACGTACAGGCACCGGACTCCAGCAGGAAGACGGTGGCGTTGTAATGGCCCTCCATGGCGGCCAGCTCGAGGGGGGTGAAGCCGGAGCTGTCGACCTCGTTGACGGGCAGACCGCGGGAGATCAGCAGGCGCAGGATATCGACGTGGCCGTAGTCGGCGGCGGCGTGGACGAGGCTGATGCCGTTCGGGTCGCGCAGGGTGGCGGCGTCCGCCGGGAGCATGCTGCTGAGGGCGTCAACGTCGCCGGACTTGAGAACCCACCAGATGTCGTTGCTCATGGTTGCGTGTGCGATTACTTATGTGTAGGGAGGAGGGTGGCAAAAAAAAAGCGCTGAACGACACGGGAGGCGGTTAGGGGCTTGGGGCCGGGGGGGGCGGGGGGGGGGAGGGGAGGCAGAAGGAGGAGGGTACCGGGTGGTGGCTGGGAGTGGCGAGAAGAGAGTGCATCAAAAGAAGCTGACTGGGCCAGGGGGGAAGGGCCGGAGCACAGCAAGGGGCCATTAAAATTCGCCGCCCCCATGCCGGGAGCATTCGCGCGAACGATCTTGGCCCGACACACTAGCCCAGGGACCGTTCCGCACTGAGGCCCGGGGGCGGGGGGGCGCTTCTCGGCCCTCCCGAGCCGCCAGGCGCTTGTCCGTGCTGGTTGGGGGTCGGCGCATTCGGCTCCGTGTGTACCCCCCTCCGCCCGCCCCTGAGTCCCGTTGGGCCGTTGCCTGCCCCCTGGCCGTGCCCTCTGCCGGGGGTTGGGCCCGGCGAATGCCCCCCCATACGAGGGGAAGCAGTGGAAGCCGGCGCGAGCTGGGCGCGTAACTGCGGTGCTTGCCGGCGCCTTGGTCGAGAGAGCCGCGAGCCGGGCGAGGACTAGACGCAACACGCACCGAGCGCTGCAGATGGTGTCCTGGCTGCTCCGCCCCCCGCCCCCCGCCCCCCCCTGCCTGTTGACCTGATTCGGGCGGATGATCCCGCCAGGAAAGGGGGGGCATCTTCGGAGGTGTCCAATGCATACACACACACACACACACACACACATTCACACCAACTGGGGAGAGAGGGGGGCGGGGGGCCTCTCTAGTCAGAGCGCTGAGGAATGTGGAGGCACAAGTTTACAGGGGGGGCGTGTGATATGGCTGCCCAGTCAAAACCCCGGTCTCCGTGATCAGTGTCAGTCAGCTGGGGCACAAACAGCGGGAGGCCTGCGCCCGGGGTTGTCGGACGAGGACGGGTTGCAGTTTCACCAAGGGGGAACATGCGGCTACTCCCCTTGACGCTACTTTATAAGGGACTCTTCCCAGGGAGGGTGTCAGGATTAGGGGTAATAGCTCAGTGGTAGAGCACCCGCTTCGCATGCGGGGGGTCTGGAGTTCAATCCTCCATTGCTCCAATCCTTCTCTTTTTGGGCCTGGGGCGTGTCGCATGTGTGATCTTTTTGAATTGAAACGCTCGGACTGATTCACCGAGGCTTGTTCTCCGATATGGAGATCACGCCTCGGAAGAAAGCATTTCGTCTCGAGAGGTACAAGAAG